TTTGAAAGAGTTGGAGGATTTGTACTACCCATTTTGAAACTTACTATTACACACAGTAATCAAGAGAGAGTAGTATTGGAGTAAAGACAGGAATATATATAAATGGACCAGAATTGAGATTTTAGAAATTCTTATATTATAGGCAACAGATTTTTTTTTTTTTTTTTTTACTAAGGTGCCAATACAATTTAAGGAAAAAAAGTCACCTTTTTAACAAATGGTGCTAGGCCTATGTATATTCATTTGACATAAATTTAAAAAAAAAAAAAAAAGACCTTATCTTACACCATACACAAAAGTTAATTCAACATGGATCCTAGATCTAAATGAAGGAGCTAAAAGAAAATGCAAGAGAAAATCTTTGTGACTTTGGATTAGGCAAAAGTCTACACAGAACATAAGCCATAAAAGAAAAAAATGACAAATAAGACTATTAAAAATATCTGCACTTCAAAGACATCAGTAAGAATAAGAAAACAAGCCACACACTAGGAGAAAATCTTTATAAATACCTCTCTAATAAGACTCTAATAAAATATATAAAGAACTTTTACAACTCAGTAAGACAAAAAACCCAGCTAAAAAAATGGGCAAAAGACTCGAGTAGACAGTCCACCAAAGACGACTTATAAATGACTAATAAAAAAAATGCGAAGCTCAATATCATTTGTGTTTAGAGAAATGCATATTAAAATCATAATGAGATACTCCTAGACACCCAGTAGAATAGTTATAATCAAAAAGACATGTGATACCAAGTGTTGACAAAGATGTAGAGAAACTGGAACCCTTCTACTTTTCTGGTAGGAATGTAATTGATATGGTCAATTTTGAGAATATTTTGGCAGTTTCTTAAAAGGTTAAAAACAAATTTTGAACTATTTTTACTCACAACACTTCTAACACCAAATGTATGGTTTTCCTAACACCAACGAATTCTCCAACTCCCTGTACACACAAATTTAGGTAGTGCCTAAAATTTAATTCTGGCACTTCCCATAATTTGTGCAGACTCTACTCATGAAGGGTTTAGTTACTCAAGACTGCCCCAACTTCAGATACCAGTCACAGCTCCCGAGAAAGCTTAAATGACTCGGTCAAGCCTTAGTCTTCTGAATCACAATTTTCTTCTTGCAAAATCGTGATGCCTATCAATTCATGCTTATTAATCTAAGCTTTCCATGAATCTCCAGAATATAAAAATGTTCTTCAAAGAACCATTTCAAATTC